ACGGAAGCGGAGAGGAAGCGAATCGACGCGGCCATCCGCAAGGCGTATGCGGGTGCCATGGGCCTGCTCAACGGCACCAAGACGACGGCCTTGCTATCTCTGGGAGCGCACAACACGCTCTCGGAGATCGGCGAGGCCCAACGTACTGCTCAATTGACGCGCCTGGGCAGCACCGCGGTCGGCAGGCGGCTGCTGGAACGAGTGGGCCTGTCCTCCCCCGAGGAACAAGACCACGAAACGTCTCCACTCACGGAGTCAACCATGCGAAGACTGGTGGTGTATCCGCTGCCAAAGAACATGGGTCCCGGCGAAAGCGAGGGACGACGAGCGGCGCGAGCCAGGGCGCTGCTGCTGCAACATCAGAACGACGAGGGCGCCGTCTACGTGGACGTGGCCAAAGTCAAGAACAAGGACGCCTACGTGGCGGCGGCGGTCGCCGCAACGACGGGCAAGATCGTCACGTCATGCAGCGTGCGTACGCGGAGCGCGAGCCAGGCCGAGGAGATGGCGATAGCCTTGGCGGCGCGCTCCCCGGGCGTGCGGACAATACTCAGTGACAGCAAGACGGCCATCCGTAGCTTCTCGCGCGGAGCCGTGTGCGGGGCGGCTGCTAGGGCGTTGGCAAGCGACGAGTCCAAGTCGAGGCTGACGCTAAAATGGTTCCCGGCTCACATGGGTAGGGACCTGATACCAGGATCTCCGAACCGCAACGAGGAGGCGGATGCCGCGGCCCGTGGTCTCGCCACGTGCCGGACCGCGGCCGCGCCCGCCTCCGAAGACACGACGGCGACCAAAGAAGAAGGCGAGGAGCAGCTGCTCGATTACGGCGACATCCTCGCGTGGTACAGGGAGCAACGGCGTGGCTTCCCGCCTCCGCACAGGGATCTTACCCGGTGGGAGGCGGTGAGGTTGCGCCAGCTCCAAACCGAGACTGTGCTGACCCCATCGCTAGCGCGACACGTGTGCCCCGAACTCTACGTGAGTGAAATGTGCAGTGTGTGCGCGAGCGCGAGAGCCACCCTGGCTCACATACTCTGGGGATGTGACGCAGACAGCGCGGACGGTCCGGTGTTACCGCCGCAAGTAGAACAGCGTGTGGGGTCTACGGACCCAGAAGACCAGCGAAGGGCCGTCCGGCAGCTCGAGGTCGCACTGGCGCTGCAAAGGCGAAAGGGGGACACCCTCAGTAACCCGAGCGGCGACGGGGCACGAAGGCCTTGAGGTCTAGGCCCGCGTGACATTAGGACTTCTAGTGTAACGTGAGATAGGGTGAACCCCACGCCCTGCGCGGCCGGAGGGAATCCCGCATGCTGGAACCCAATAAAGTTTATTCTCTCTCTCTCTCTCCTTTCAAGATGTGTACGCTCGTTTCTCAAACCCACGCAGAAAAAAAAGGAAAAGAAAACCTTCGGTGTAACGAGTGGGCATTCCGAAGTGAAGTACCAGAAGGATTATTTCTACTATTCTCCCGGGCTCCCCCCCCCCCGCGCAAACACGAGGACCGGACGGCGCCTTGTCGTCTACAGACCGTGTGACAGTGTACGTTGGAGATAATCGGCGTGCACCCTTCAGATTTGTGGCATGGGGGAGCAGCAGAGCACCTTTTGTTGGTTCGGGGAATGCGACGATGCCGCGGCGCTTGTGCCGGGTCCAGTATGCCTTTCCGTCAACCTCCGTGGCTCCAGGGCTCATTACTGCGTTCTGCGCGGATGGCCGCCCGCGGCAGTGAACGACGAAGAAGCGGCGGCTACGGAGAATTCCGCGGGAGACACCGAGCTACATGGAAACGTTGAGACTTGGTCTGGACATCGGCTCACCAAGTACCGGAAGCATCGGGAGCATTGTTCGCCAGTAATTAAAATGTCTTCGGACGGCTCGCCCATCACTCTCCCTGAGGCTTGAGTTTATACACTTTTACTTGCTCGGCTTTGTTTGGGTGAGGGTTTTCTACTGGTTGGGGCCGCGGGAACGGCAGCTGGCCAGGCAGCTGCATTAGATGTGGCCGGACCCACCCCGGAGAAAGCTGCAAACAGACCCGGCCCCGGTGTGTCAACTGCGGGGGCCCTCACTCTGCAGACACCCCGGAGTGCCCCCGGTGGCAGGAGCAGCGGAAGGTTGCCACTATCATGGCATCTTCCCCAACCATCGTCTCGAGGCGTGCAGTGGCAGCGGCGGTGTGAGAGGAGATTCAGGAGGCGCGGACCTTTGCAAGCGTGGTGAAGGGCCACCCTGCGCCGCCCCCCCCCTCCGGCCAGACCCATCCCGGCGCCTCGCAAATCTCGTCGCCAGCCACTTCCGGGACTGCAGTCCACTGGCACTGCTGCCCCTATGGCCCTGCTGGCAGCCACTGCTGTTCCTGAGGCCCCGCCTGCTGCAGCTGCCACTCTCGCGGCCCAGCCTGCAGCTATTGTCCACGGAGGCCGGCCTGCTGTGCCCATGGCTCCTGCGGCCCCGCCTGCTGCGACAGTAGCGTTGCCTCAAGCTGACCCGCCCTACCAAATCGTCGCCACCCTGCTGCACACCCTGCGATCTTTGGGAGAGACTCTTCCTCTGTACCACCCCCTTCGAGCCATCTGTTTACAGACGGGAGGCTCACCGCTCCCCACAGCCAATCATGGCTAGCTCCCCGGCCGGAACGAGCCGAGGCCGCCGCCCAAGCGTTCTGCAGTGGAACGTCAACTGGCAGGGGTGACGATGAGACGACCTGGCAGAGCACCTTCTGTGGAGCGATTACGACGTGCTTGCACTGCAGGAGGTGTATGCCCGGGCGGAGGACCTTCGCCTGCCAGGGTATGTTGGATACAGCAGCAGGACTGGCTGCACCCTGGCGACCTGCCTTGATGCCCCCTGCCTGAACGACAGCCACCAGCAAGGGCATTCCCGGTGTGCTGTCTACGCCAGGCGGGAGCTCCCGCAGGCAGAGGTGAAGGTGGCTGACCTGGTATGAGGCCCCTTTGAGTGCGGCGCCGTCCGCATCCACATCAAGGGGCAGGACACCACTGCGGCCAGCATCTACGTTCGACCGGGCCAGCCCTGGGACCCCAGATGTCTCCGTCAGCTGGCACATCGCCTGGGCAGGGAGTTCCTGCTTTGCGGGGACGTCAATGCGAAACACTCAACATGGGGCGGCCGCAGGACTGACGCTCGAGACAGAGAGGTGCGTGATGTCCTCCAGCAGCTGGGGCTGGCGATCCTCAACTCGGGTGCCAACACCTTCCTCCGTCGTGGGCAGCAGGCCACCAGTACTGCCATAGATCTCAGCGTGGCCACGGAGGGTTGCCAGTATGCCTGGTCGCCATTCCCGGACACCTAGGGCTCGGACCACCTGCCCATCCTGCTGTCTCCCTTCAGAGGTAGGGCTTCACGGGAGCGCGAGTACCGCGTGGTGCATTGGCAGGTCTACCAGCGACTACTCAAGCAGGACACGAGCAGCGGGGACCTGCTGCAACTGGTGGCCCACAGTGCGAGGGCAGCAGCAGTCACTGCCAAGGTCCAGCAGGGACAGCCCGTCCCAGACATCCGGCACCTGGCTCTGAGGGCGGCACGGCGACGTGCAGAGCGGCAAGCCCTGAACAAGGGCTAACCGGAGCTCTGAACGGTCTTCCGGCGAATTGATGCCGTCTGCAGACGCCATGCATGCATGCGCCGGAACCAGGGCTGGCAAGGCATGTGCGTCTCGATCAACAGCTCACGTGATGGGACCAAGGCCTGGCGCCTGCTGAAGTGCCTGCTGATGGCGCCCCGGGCCATGAACCAGGGACTGTCCCTGGCTGTTCACCTGTCGATCACGGCTGCGAACCTAGCAGAAGGGCTGGCTGACCAGTTTGCTGCCAGAGACAGAGCCCCACTGCCTGCTGCACCACCGCCTGCTGCCCTCCCTTGCCCTACCTCCCGTCATCATCCCAGATGGGTGTCCGCGCAGGTGCGGAAGCTGTGCGAAGAGCCCATAGCGATACACGAGCTGGTGGCAGCCCTCGAGAGGACCAAGTGATGAAGTGCTCCAGGGGCTTCTTCTTGTGATGAAGTCGACCAAGTGATGAAGTCGACCACCTGGGCTTCTTCTTGAAGCAGCAGACGGGCTTCAGGTGACACCGGTGCACGGCAGATTCGATCTCAGACGTCGTCGCTACCCTCGAAGACGCCAGGAGCAGCGGGGACGTGGCCATGCTGCTGCTGCTGGACCTGGAGAGTGCCTTCGACGGATTCCACACGTGGCGGTCGAGGTGGCCCTGGACCGCCTTGGCATCAGCGGGAGCCTCCGAGGCTTCGTGACCACCTTCCTGGAGGCACCTACCTCGGAGGCATCGGGCTTAATGTCTCTGCCACCAAGACCGAGGCCCTGCTGATTCACCCGCTGGCAGCAGCTCGCACCCACGTGAGACGGCTGAGGATTGGCAATCGCAGCCTGCCTTGGAGGTTGGTGGTAAAGTACCTGGGGCTCACCATCGACCACCGACTCACCTGGATCCCGGCTGCCAAGGCTGCTGCCACCAAGGTACGGCGCGTCCAGGGCGCCGTCAGCAGGCTGCAGCTGCATGGCCGCGGCTGCTCCACCAAGTGGGCCCTCCGGCTCAACCAGGCTGCGGCGCCCTCGGTCCTCCTGTACGCCTTTCCGCTGGTGAACATGACACCGGCCAGGAGACGCCTGCTGGAGGGACTCCACAGGGGTGCACTGAGGGCCATTTTGGGACTTCCCAAAAGCTCGCCGGTGGCAGCGACTCTCGCAGAGACAGGAAAGTGGCCCCTGACATTACGTATGCTCTAACGTGCGCTGGGCCACATTTACCGCCTTCACCGCGCCACCGATGGCAGGGCCCTCCTGGGGCGTCTCCGCAGTCAGCCAGGATCACAGATGGGACGCCTCTGCCTGCTGTACCACCAGATGGTCCCAGATCCGCCAGTCCCGGTTGCCTCTCCACCGCCTCACCACCAGCCACCAGAGGTCCACCTCTGCTTGAAAGGGGCACCTCTGCTTGAAAGGGGCAACGCGTGTGGCCGCAATGCACCAGGCGGCCTCCTGCAAGCTCCAGGAACAACTGGAGGGACGGCTGCAGGTGTTCACGGACGAATCTGTGATGCCAGACGGGACCGCAGCGGCCGCATGCGTAATCCCGTCCAGAGCCAACAGCAGGCAGTGCAGGCTACCCTTCCCGGTGAGCTCCACGGCTGCGGAACTTGCTGGACTGCATCTCGCAGTAGACCTGTTGGCTGAGGACATCCCCCTTGAGCCGGCAGCGGTCCTGTGTGACAACAAGGCAGCCCTGCAGACCCTGGCCAACTCCCGCTGTGCCGCACTGACCGCCTGCCTCCTGACAGCCAGGGTTCGTGCCCTCACCGACGCCGGGGTGTCCGTCTCCTTCCACTGGCTGCCCTCCCACGTGGGCATCGCTGGAAACGAGAAGGCGGACACACTCGCCAAGGCTGCCCACCAGCCTGGTACTCCCCACTCCTGTGCCGTGGCGGCCAGGGACTATTCACAGGCCCGTCTCAAGAGGCTCCTCGTCACAGTCCACCCAAACCCTAGGGTGGCCAGCGGGCGAGGACCAAAGCCTCTCCCAGAGACGGGCCTCACCAGGAGAGAACGGGCCTCCCTGTTGCGACTGCGGACCGGCTGCGTGTGGACAGCCGCCCGCCGCCACGCCAAGGACCTCTGTCCCTCCACGGCCTGCAGCCGTTGCGGAAACCCAGAGACCCTCGAACACCTCCTCTGTGCCTGCCCTGGCTTAGCAGAGGAACGCTTGAGGGCCTACACGGCCTACAGGAGACAGGGTGTGCCCGTCTCCACCCTGGAAGACCTGCTGTTCCCATCTCGTCCACATACAGCAGCACTCCGCAGCCTGGCAGAGTTCGTGGAGGAGTCACGAATTGCTGCCTACCGCTGATCCCAGGAGCCATGCTGCCCTTGCCCTTGCCGACGGCCAGCTGTTCGCACTGAAGCAAACCGGACATCCCTACTTACACACCACACACTATTTCTCCTATCCTCTTTCATCCCCCTCCACCCCACCCCAAAAGCACTGCGCCGTGTCGCCTGTAGGCAGACAGAAAATAGGTGCCTTCTTCCTTTTCCTCAAGAACCACTAACAACAACAACAATAGGACACACACCGACTGACAGAAAACTATGCCGCGTGGATGGTAGCGATTGGTTTGGTGCCCCGGTAGGGCGGAGTTGGGTCCTACAAAAAGGGACTACGAGACGATGCGAAAGGAGGTCCGAGATACGATGTGAAGAGGCAGAGAGACGATGCGAAGAGATTCGGAGATACGAAGCGATGAGCTCGAGATGGTAGGGAGACGGAAAGGAAAAGGAAGATAACGGTGTGAAGAGATAGCAATAAGAGTCGATGAGATGATTACTGAGGCAGAGATTATATGACGAGGAATGAAGGTTAGAGATGGGGAACGAAGAAACGAGTGATTGCGGGATGTTATGAAAGAAGATTAAGATGGAAATCGCCGAGAGAGACAACGAAGACGACGAAGACGGTGAAGACTGACCACATGGACCATTCGTGAGACGAACTTCACCTCCTTTACTTAAACGAGCTTTGCGGAAAGGGATGCGGCATATTGAGACATCGCGCGGTTTTATTAATTAATGACTTTATTATTTGTGTCGTCGTGTGTTTTTATGCATATCCTTGTATTGTTGCTGTTATTTTCTTTATGTACCTGCCCTGTGTCGAACGTTGCGAGTGTCTAGATCATGTGGTATAATTTTCTGTAGTGGTTGATGTACGTGGGTATACGATGTTTGCAGTTAGTATTAATTTTAATGAATCAGTAAATAGAAACAGGTCGTAGCGTCTCTTACTTCCCAGCCCCAGCACGAATCCCTGTATGTGGAAAGTGATTGAGACACATAGCCAAGAGGGAACCGGATAGACAAGGGGTTGGGTGGTCTTCCCTCTCTTTGGTAATCGGTGGCGTAGCGGGGGACGTCTCAACAGTATGGCGCAGTGGTGATTGCACTTCCGGTCGTGATAGCGAGCTGACGCATTTGGAATGGGCTCTGTAGGGGCAGTATCAGCGGCCCTTGTGGGCCATCGGAACAGGTATTTTCAGAATTTTGAAGAACACCAGGAAGTCCTGCCGAACTTACCCACAGGAAAGATTGCACTGAACACTGCTTTCACGCACGCAGATGTAAGCGTAAGACCTTTTCGTGTCTACAATTTCAGGGACACGTCGATTCATCTCTGTCTGCTTGCCGAAATTTTGACGCTTATCAGATGAATCACGGTTGCACCATTTTAATGAAATACGCCGCCGCTGCTGGGACAGGCGTGTCACTGCAAACGACGTTCAAATAAAGGACCACAAGTGCCTTATCATTGACACTAATGACTGTGGCGTTCATTTCCAAATTCACTGGCTCCTTCTCAGTGTGTTACATGAAGCAGCCAGTGTGACATGTGCAGTCAGTTTGAGCCGCTCTGTTGCCATACGGCAAGATCAGGGAAGTTTGTAGAAGACGTCGGCGTACACATGGTGTCATAGATAAGGAATTGACGACTCGAGTAGTGATCTTTCAAGTGCGGGCCTGGAGTGAACATTGGCAAGATGCTGCACCAACTCAAGGTTGCCGGTGAGCCAGCGTTGTTGCGTCAGGCAGGGCCCTTTTTTTCCTGCGTTGCAAATCTAGTGGACAAATCTGTAAGCAGTGCCAGCTGCCACGCTGAACTATACCTGCCACCGCTACGGCCGTTAGGTGACCCAATGGGTGAAGAGTTATGCAATTGCTGCCAGTTTCTAGGAGGGCGTCGGCACTTCAATACGCCTAATGAATGAAGCAGTGGCAGGAGCAGGACGCGAAGCCTCAGTCACTGTCAAGCTTCCTGCGTTGATTTCTGTGTGCGGTGCAGACAAAGCCAACTCTCCTACAGAACAGTGACCACCGCTAACGCAGTCTGCCAACGGGAAGATCAGGGAAAAGAAAGACCCTGCTGCAACTGTGGATGACACCAACGATTATAGACCCACACGCATGCATTTTCTGGAGGCATCGAATGGCTCTCCCTCATCCAAGCAGGCGCACGAGAACACTGGCAAGGCAACATCGAACCCCAACGGTCGCAGACAATGCCGACCAAGACGGCCCATATCGTCGACTTGTACGTTCCGATGTACGTTCCGTTCCGAATACCTGTTCCGATGGCCCACAAGGGCCGCTGATACTGCCCCTACAGAGCCCATTCCAAATGCGTCAGCTCGCTATCACGACCGGAAGTGCAATCGTATCGACCACGCCTGAACCTGGCGCCAGCATAATAGCGGTAGCACCACCACCACCTGCTCCGATGTATTGCTAATGGTGACAAAGCAGAACGCATTCGCATCTGCCTATTATTCTAGGCAAGCAGCATGTTTCGCACCCATCTTTCATATCGCAATGATCACCATTCCTGAATCGCTACGCAACGCACCTCTTGACGTACAAGGTTTTGAGTGAAAAAGAAAGCACGGTCAGGTGTACCAATTCGTGACCGAGTATGACCTCGGCCCTCTTGCGACACAAGATTCTAAGGTTGACTGGGAACATGGAGTGGCGTGTCACGTCTGCCTATTTTGGAGGGGTTAGTCGCGCTGCAGGAAGCAGGCTTGTTGCTGCCTTTGCTGCACCGTGTCTTTGGCATATCGATACGGGCAATTATAAGTTGTAATGAGCGATTCAATATTGACAAGTTTCTTTTTGTTGGTAAGGAGTGGCATAATATATGCTTATATGCACCCAATAATGCAGAACAAAAGCTCTGCTTTTGAAGCATGCTTTCAAACAGTGTGATTTCCAGACACTACTAATTGTTACAGGTGATTTCAACTGCGTGCTCTTTCAGCAGATAAAACTAACAGGAGAAATTTTATTGATGCCAGCACCGAAACTCTTAGAGATATAACGTATGATCTCTGTATATGAAAGATTCAGGGAAACGTTTAGAGGGCCCACGTAAGAGTACAATTCACTCTCTTCCAAGGCTCGAACCATGCCTGACTTTATAGAGCATAGTATATCTGCATATTTTACCATTTTGTCAGCAACACCACTTTAGTCCCGTGTGTTTTAGTGATCGCTTTCTGGTTGCACCTACGATAGCTTCTCGGGGGGGGGGGGGGGAGTATGCGATAGAAATTCATGTGGCAGTTATGATATTGAACTGCAGACTGCTCATCCATGATGTTTTTTGAAGGTAGTACCTGTCTGACTTAAAACACCGAAAGAGAACAGTAGATTGCCCAAAGAAAAAAATCTAAATTCTTAAAAAAACACTATAAAGTGATTCCACTGGAATGATCTTGTGTCATAACATGAGAGGCAGGAGCTCAGGAGGGAAAAACACTTCGTTCAAACCTGCAGCTGCTTATAGCTCAGAAGGCTCGCAGACCTGGCGAATTCATCAAGAATACCAAGACAAGGAATTGCGAGCTTGAATGTATTGATACAGAGTGATCACACACAGTGCTTAGTTAGATACCACAGTGCTTAGTTAGAGCATGAACTGAGAGGCTCAAAAGCGAGTACACGCCGACGAAAAGAGCGCTGGGTGCGTAAAAGTAACATGTGCCAAACAAATGGATAGTGGAAATTGTACTTGAAAGCGTAATCACTAAAGACACTGACGAAATTGTGAAAACATTTTCGGAGTAGTGTGGCGCACTGTCTGCCCGCCGCGCGGTTGATATCAATCTTTTAAAAAAATACTTTTTTTGTTGCCTTGACGACACGAATAGATAATGAGACACACTATATAGGTGAAATGACATGGTATAACGTGCAGAAAGGCGCTTCATTAGAAAGCCCGATAAACACGATTTTTCTGCAGCATCTCTACATCAATGTCAGTCACGTCAGTGCATTACATATTGATACGAACGTCCTGATTGTGACATCATTCGAGTGGCCTTTAACGCCCGGTGGCTGATGTGACCTCGCAATTGAACTGACTGCATCTTGTAGTGTTTCGGGGAAAACGATAAATTTTTACAGCAACTATTCATCAAACTAGCTGGCCGATAAGCAGCTTCCGTTCGCAATTTTACACGATAGCAAGTTTTGGGTGCATGTTTTTCCTTGTAGCGAGTACACTGGCAGCGACTTTGCCCCACCGTGGTGGTCTAATGGCTAAGGTACTCGGCTGCTGATCCGCAGTTCGCGGGATCGAATCCCGGCTGCGGCGGCTCCATTTCCGATGGAGGCGGAAATGTTGTAGGCCCGTGTGCTCAGATTTGGGTGCACGTTAAAGAACCCCAGGTGGTCGAAATTTCCGGAGCCCTGCACTACGGCGTCTCTCATAATCATATCGTGGTTCTGGGACGTTAAACCCCACAAATCAATCATGGCTGCGACTTTGTCTATTAAGCTTCCGTGTGGTTGTTGGTCTAAAGCAGTGTGCGTCCAAACCTGACAGGTATTCTGAAAAAAAAATGAAGGGTTCGGTGACTTTCCGTAAATTACACATGTCACGCAGTTTAACGGTTCACAATTTTACACGACCGCCGTTTGATCGTTCGTCCACCCATTCGTGCCAATGCTAAGTGGAAGGCATTTTACTGTGTTCTACTCTAACTCTATTGCAGACCAAAACTCCTTTTTCAGCCACCAGGTAGCAAAAGATAACGGAAGGGGTTAGATTCCTTGCGTCAGCCACGTAATACTGCCACGCAGGCTGAATGCACGTGGCCCGTGGGCCGCAGATTGCCTACACTCTTCCCAATTGGGATGTCTATGTGTAGTACACAAGAACAGTGCTGCGTACCCTTGCCACGACGATCTCTGCGCCTCCTGTGAGCATGTTTTTCTCAGCTCGGACCAACAGCACCGATTGTTCAGCACGGCGAGGAGGCGCCGAAGGCCAGCAGCTCTGCGCGTCGCCAAAGCCCA